TTCCTAATATTGTCCACAACACATTGTCACAAACATTCTTCTGTATATGCATCGCATCGAGGTTGTGTCATTAGATTGTGCTCCCAATATGGCAATTCATAAAAGATACTTTTTTTCTTCCAACTATGGGTGCGATGTCCAACTTTCTCTTTCTCTACTTGTCTCCTATGCCTCTCCTTAAGGTCATCCCTCTTGTATTTGGTTAAAATACCCTCAGATTCTAATTGTAGCAACATCTCAGTTCCAGACAACAATTTTGGTTTGAATCTGACTTCCCGACTACCATCAAATGATACTTTATCCTTTTGGAATTTATGGCCATTAGGTAAAAATCTGCGATGACCCAAGTATGATTGTTTCCTACTATGCTTCAACCAACACGATGTAGTTTCTCTATTGCAACAAGGACATGCATATTCGCCTTTAGTACTCCATCCTGACAAGTTTGCATATGCAGGAAAATCACTAATTATCCACAATAAAGCTGCATGGATTTGAAACATTTGATTTGTTGATGCATCAAATGTGGAGACACCGTCATTCCATAGTTCTTTCAACTCCTCAATCAACGGTTGCATATACACATCAATCTTGTCACCAGGTCCTTTCGGGCCGTCAATAAGCATAAATAAAATTAGAAATTGTTGTTTCATGCACATCCATGGCGGCAAGTTGTATGGAATGAGTACAACAGGCCAAGTGCTATGAACTATGTTCATCGTCCTGAATGGGTTAAAACCATCAGATGCTAAGCCAAGCCTTACACTTCGGCAATCATTACTAAAGTCAATATTCCGACGATCAAAATTTTTCCATGCAAGGGAGTCTGCATGATGCCTAAAGACACCGTCATTAGTTCGTTCCTCTGCATGCCATCTCATTAACTTAGCCGTCTTGGATGACATAAACAGCCTCTGCAACCTTGGCTTTAAAGGAAAATACCTCATTTGTTTTGCAGCTATTTGTTTGCCACCGTTGTGAGGACCATTTGAACCACCATCGCCATTTGATTTCCATCTTGAACTGTTGCATATGACACATTTATCAAGATTTACGTCCTCGTTTTGAAACAACATGCAACTGTTGGGACATGCATCCCATGTCTCATATGTGAAACCCAAATCTGTTGTGACCTTTTGAGCTTTATAATATGAGTCCGGGAGTTTCACACCCAACGGGAACGCCTCATTCAATAACTCAAGCAACACGTCAACAGACTTGTCTGTCCACTGATTAAGCACCTTCAAATGTAAAAGCCGAACAATGAATGACAAAGAAGTGAACTTCTAACAACCCGGATACAATTCACTTTGTGCATCTTGAAGAAGTTTGAAATAGTTTGTAGTCCCTGCATTTGGACCGAGCTGGGGTTCAGATGCATGGGGATCAGTGCTCTGTGCTTCATTACCGTCAACACTTGTACCGACATGTGGATTTCCCACAGCCCCTTGTATCATTCCAACCATATCGTCGCCAATGTCTAAATTAGCCAATGGTTCATTCCCTCGATTAGCATGCAGAGATACGTAAGATTCCCCATGATTAATCCAATGTTTGTACTTTTTAAAAAAACCATTCAAAATCAGATGCTTCCGTACACCCTCTCGCACAAGATGGTATCGATTCTCACATTTTCTACACGGACAACTAATCATCGAACCTTCAACCCTATTGGTGTAGGCAAACACAAGGAATTGATCAATCCCATTAATGTATTCCCTCGACATCCTATTTGCCAAATCAATCCAACTCTTATCCATCATCTGTACTTCCCTTATATGTGTTTCCCACTATTAATTTGGTTCAGGCAAACTTACTGGGAGATATACATCTCACATACAAAACAAATATGCCCTAGAAAAAAATATAATTACAACAAATATAAGAGTCATAATGAGATGTAAGGGTAAAAATATAATTACAAGACATAATATCATATATTAATTATCGTAAGAGAAGAGGGGATTAGTGGGCTTCAAATCCCGATTAGTGAGGAAACAACCAAGGGCATGCGCTATTGGGCCAAATGCTATCCTCGTTGGGGGCTTGTTGCCAGAGTTATTACAGGTATCCCCCAATACTTGGTTCAAAAAAATCCAAGCATCATTTTAGTAAGATGAAGGATCTTAACTTCTCCCCCTTTGATCACTACAAAAAATAAGACTTTTGGCGACCAAATATTTTGGTCCCTAAAACTACTATTTTGGTCTCTAAATGATTTTTCTGACAAAATTAATTTTGTCACTAAAAAAGTCACTAATAGTGCGTCTAGAAAAGTCTTTAGCGACGAATTTTTGAAAATGTCACTAAAAATGACAATTAGCGACCAAGTTTATATTGTCACAAAATATTTAATTTTACAAGACTAAACATTTGGTCGCTAATACTTCGTCGTAAAATGTCCCAATTTGGTCACGAAAAACAAAATAATGGTATTTTTAACGACAATGATATTTGGTCGCTAAAAGATATAACTTTCTCTACAACACATTTTCGTCGCTAAAAATCAAAGTTAAGAATTTTGTAATCAATTAATTTTATAGCTAAAAATGCACAAAATTAAATGCCATCCAATCATATTAAAAAAAATTGACATCCACACATCAAAAACATTTTATTCCCAAACCACAATGAGTATATAAAAAGTAAAATTTTACAAAAATTAAAACTGAAAGTTTCCAAATTCAAATCAAAGTAGTAACCGTTCAAATGAAAATAGCAACAGTTTCTTCAAAGAGAATATCTAAAAAAACATTTTCTCAACATCAATGTCATGTTTTATATCAAACAGCATTGGCACAAGAGGCTTCAAGTTGTACTTAGGTGTGACACCATTTGGACATCCCTGCAACCCAAAATTCAAAAAGAAGAATCAAATAATAAGAATCAACACAACATAAACTCATTAAATAATCAATAGTCATTCATAATCAAATAAATTACAAATAGTGAAAAAACAAATTATCTCAGTGTACTTGTAGTAGTAGTGAGCTATAATTAGAATCAACACAACAAGAAAATGAGTCACCTAGAAAAGTATATAAAAGAGAACCAAGAAGCACTAAATCTAGTCGATTCATCTGGCTAATTCTATAGGTAATATCCCTCATACACTTCAAAGCAGCAAAAACTACAAATAATTAACACGAACAAACCAAGATTTTCAAATCCCACAAGATCTACTAACAAGTGATAATGATTCACAGAAGCAACATTATCTACCAAGAGAGCTAATTGAAATGTTTAAGTGTGAAACAATACGAACATGATAAATTCTTTTATCCCATCAATGTATTGATGTAACCTTCTATTATGAAGTTGCATCCAACTCCTATCCATCCCGAAATCCCTATTATGTAGTACACAAAGACGTTATCCTTAAATTCCAATATCTAGTTACTTTCTATACGTGGTCTTAAGGGAGAAACACAACTAAATTCTTGAAGAAGTTTCACTAATATGTATATCTACTTTTGACTATGTGATTCAAATCTATCTTTTGACAAACAAAAATGCAGGGATGTATTGCCAAGGCACACCACATAAAACAAAAGCAAAACATCAGGACACATAATATCTCATTGGTATTTCGGATTCTAATGGTAGTTAAATAAAAAAATAAGTTGGAAAATAATGAAAATGTTGAATTTATTTTGTCATTTTTGTGTTTCATCTTTTTTTTATATATAAAACATAAATAAATAAACAACAACAAAAAAAATAATGAAAAGTTTGAGTAATTTTTTAGAAGTCAAATATTTCTTTAAAACAGTCTACCCATCCAAACTGATGACAAAGCAGCAAAATAAAGGCAAGGAGAAACCAGTTCAGAATCCACCAACATGGCCAAAAATAATAATAATTACTAACAAAAATAAAAATAAAGAAGAGGAAAGAGCTCATTGAAAAACATACCAAAGATGATGCAATTATACAACCAAAAACCAGTGCAAGAGAATGAAGAAGCCTCTTCCTGCAGTCAATACCCACTTAATGAGAATATATCTTCAATTCTAAGAGGAAATGAGAACACTGCAATGTTAATGAACAAGAGGAAAGAGCAAAATGCAGAAGCAGGTTTCAGAAGAAGACTACTACAACTTCTAACATTGTCAAATTTAATATAAAGTCAAACACTACTTAGATCTTTTGTCATACATATATGAAGCAAGCATCTGAAAATTTGTTTAATATGCTCCAAACACTACTTAGATCTTTGTCATCGAAAATGTGTTTAACTAACCAAATAAGAAAGTAGAAAAACAAGCACCAAGTAGCGCAACTGAGGCATCAGTGCTCAGCTGATGCTTTTTCAGCTCTTGTATAGCTATCGAAAATGTGTTTAACTAACCAAATAAGAAAATATTGTACAATAAGATTACTTCCTTCCCACCTCCCTGCAAGTGACCATCACGGACCTCCCGGCAACAAGTAAGGCAAAGGTCATAAAAACAGTTTGGACAGCTTCTGTGGAAATCAACAACATAAGTTTTACAGTAGTTGCTGCACAAAATATGTGATATCATTACGCAAAAATTAAGATATATTTAACATAAAGAAGAAAATTTTCATGAAACCTACCAATAAACACGCTCATCCTTTTCACAAGCTGCCTTTTGTAGCTCTAATGCTGCTAATGATTACCCTGGCCAAACAAACATACAACTAGCAAATAATTGCCTGATCTCATAGGTTTTGGATTGGAATATTAATTGAACGAACAAGTGTTAAAGCAACTATGAAGAAGCATTAGTAAATTGAACATTTTCTCCTAAAGGCCTTTTAGAATATAATCCCTGAAATTTTTATTGAAAAAAGAAAAAAAGTATAAACATGGCAAATTGAAGTAACTATCAGTGAAATTAGGATAGCTATCTACAACCACTGAAATGAACAAATTAAATGAAGTGAAATAGATGAAAAAGAAAGCACTTCTACAGTGAAGCCAATCAAATAGCATGGCAAATCCATCTTATAGACAGTGCAAGTGCATGTGCAACTCTCACATCCATATGAAATCACTATCTTAGTTTCAAATAAGAAAAAAGTTTTGGTCACCACCGCATCAGGACCAAAACTACTAACATCTTTTAAACATTGATTGCCGAAATCACAATTCTATTATTCTATTCAATATCTCTGTACTCAGTGCAGTGACCTCCATTTCATCGCTTTAATAGGAAAACATAATTATAGAGTTTTTATGTTACACGAAACGAAAGAATTACTACCTTGAATCTTGGCCTCTGTTTCCTTCTCCATCAATTGCTCTTGATTGAAATGTTTCAGAAATGGAATAAGTGCATGTAGCAAATACATGGAGTGGTGAACCTTTTCATCTTCGTTGATCTTCAATTTTAAATTACATTATGATCTAGAATAGGCACTGATAGAACAGATCGTGAAATGTCTGGAGCAAAGAAAACTGACTGACTTTAAGAGATCCATCTAAACGTAAGCATGCTTTGCAATTGCAGTTTCCACAACAAACAGGGCAAGCCTCAGCAATTGCCTCCTCTTTCGTATCAGGATACCTGCAAACATGACAAAATTATTATTAATGTCAATCACAACAGAAACTATCAGAAAATTATTCACAAGTTCAACTACAAAAATGTAACGTAACTATAGTCTGATGACTAAAACCCACAATTACATTATGATCTCAAGTGGAGATGAGTGTATAGGATAATATAATTAGCAAAATAATATATATGATATATCAAAAGAACACTTGACTGTACTTGTCAACTAATTATGATTATACTGACAAGTACCAACATGCAAGTAGAAAGCAAAAATCTCATTTCATGCAACCATCTAAAATATGCATCATGTTGTCGTAAATCTCTTTAGCCTTCAATAAAGTAGTGTCATAGAAAGAGATACAACAACTAATAAGCATAGTTTTCAGAACCTTACAATTCATTATTCAATTAAAAATTCCACTTATATTTACATCTACATTTGTCGACCATTTTGTCAATGGATATCATAAGAATTTTTCAGCCATTTTAAATTGTGTCAATTTAAGAGGTAACAGCCTTAAATAGCTAAAATTTTAAAAATCAAGCTGTTGCACAGATATTCCACAACTATTATAGAATAGTTTTAACAACAAACCACATCATTTTACTTCGATTTCTGCCAAGTTCTATGGCACACATCAGTGCATAATATAGTAGACATTACAAATCCTTATATGCTAAAAGGTAGTATGTGTTAAATGATAGTTAGATCCTTCTTTTGTCATCCTCTCTTCAACTACAAGTCAAAGTTGAATCAGCATTCTAGGGAAATGCATACAACTATACAAGTGAAGCTAAAAACATGGATGCCTACTTATTGTCAAAGAAATGGCATCTTCACAGCTCCATGTCTAGGAAGAGATTGACCAACATATGGAGAGTTTGATACATATGGCCCAGTGAGAGACGATTCATTCATCATTCTTATTCTTAGTGACAGAAAACAGAGAAGAAGGCCATATATATATACACACACAAGTTCAATCTATGTAACAGTCAAAAATTGAAAATCAAAAAATAGAAAATGACAGTGTAACACCTGAAAACTCACTGAAACAATAAATTAACACCCTACGAAATACAGTATTGATTGAACTGTGCGAGAAAACAATTCTTCATCTCCAACACGCATCAGATTAGATATATATATACACATACACATTAAGAGATATATATACACATAAAAAAGTTCAATTTATGAAATAATAAGAAATTGAAAGTTCGAATTGGAGCTCTTACAGGTTGATTACGGAGATCGATTACGATAAGAAATTGAAAGTTCGAATTGGAGCTCTTACAGGTTGATTACGGAGATCAATTACAGAGAGAGAGCGAGAGAGAGGCACCAAAATTTGAAGACGATGAGCTCCCAATCTGCCTTGGAGCTCTCAACTTTAGGGCTGAAGATTGAGCAACATTGAAGAGGAGGGAATGAGCAAGTTGTGACTGAAGTGTGGCCCCGACTTTTTAATCGTTAAAATGATAAAAATATTTCGTCCCAAAATGTTTTTAATGGATAATGACGGAAATATGTGCTCCCTAAAGATATTAATAACATATTAGCAACTAAATTTATTGGTCTAAAAAAATTATGTAAATATTAAGTGAGAATATTAATAGTCATTTTTACAATCTTTTATGTAAATTATTATGCTTTTAAAATTGTCCCTAAAAGATTATTTTTAGCAACCAAATTTAATTAGTCCTTAAATATTGGTCTCTAAAAAGCTAATTCCTTGTAGTGGATCTTCACCAAACATAAAAAGAGTATATATGTATATAGGGAGAAAAAAAATAAATAATTAATGTTAATTTGAGCAATGAGAATCTGCTAGTTCCAAGTCACCAACATGGACAATGCTGTTCCTAATATTACAAAAATAGCAACACAAAAAAAAAAAGAAAAAAAAAAGGAAAAGAAGCAGTGATCAAAATACAAAACATTTGTTAGACTAGCATAAACAGGTCCACACAACGGTTACTAGAACGGGGAGCAGAAGTAGGAGATGTTAATGATAACTTACATGGTTCAAAATACATAAAATGGAAAATTAGCAGCTCAATAAAAATGGACAATTAGTTGAGTATTCCTTTTTACTCAACCTGTGAATTTCAAAGAAAATGTACAAATCCTTCTTGGACGAGTTAACAACATTGAAAAAACTTCAAGCTAGAGTAAGAGGTGTAAATATAAAACGAAATAATGTTCTGAATAACTTCATACATAATGCTGTCAAGGAAGGATATTCAGGAAATGGTAATAGAACTTCATAAATTATGTGCTTAATAACATGGAGTTGCATGAAAAAAGAGAAAAATACCAATAGCAGAATAATGCTAAATTATCCAAAATAAGGAAAGAATTACATTTCATTTTATTTTAAAGGGCTAGGCAAGGTTTTTGGTGTTTTACTTTATACGTCAGACAAGGTTAAGTAGCAGAACAGCATCGACGCAATAAAATCTCAAGACCTGTTCCACCATAACTCTATAACCACCGAGCGTTTAGTTCTTTACAGAAGATCACAAGATATGAAGCCAGTGATGGAAATACCCGCTCAATAATTAATAACACAACTGCTCATAAGCTCAATTAGCTACATGCATTGCTAGTGTTAACATATAATATACATCCCACTAGCATTTGTAGCTGTAAAGGGCCTTGTAGCTGTAATGCTTATTGATTAACTTCCACCAAAGGCACCATGAACCAAGAGTCAGTATTGGACTGGCAAAGCAAAGCCAAATATGTGAGAGCTTATATGTTTTCTTAAGCAAAACCAGCAATCACACATGCCCTAGTTGGAATCTCATTTTATAGATAATTTATAAGAATTTCAACTAGGCTAACAAGACCACGCCATCTGATCACATACTTTAATTACTAACACACGCATGCATTTTTGCACCCAATTAGGAAAGTACAGTTGAAATTGAATTGAAAAATTTGCTAACCCTCGTTCTTACCTCGTCACTCGTCGTTCGCAGTCGTTCACCCTCGTTCTTGCCTCGTCACTCGTCGTTCACAGTCGTTCGTCACTCGTCGTTCACAGTCGCTACCTGTCACTCCGGCGAAGGCCGTCGTTCACCCTCGTCAATCTGCGAATGCCGTTGTTCACCCTCCTTCACCACGGCACTGAACGATTTTCATCTCAGGATTTTGGGGATTCTGGGATTCGGATTTTGGGGGTTTTGGCTTGGAGAGTTTAGGGATTTTGATTTGGGGGTTTTGGTTGGGTGAGTTTAGGGATTGGGATTTTGGGGATTTTAGGATGACCGCGAATGGGAGAAATCCCCGCGAATGTGTGAAATTTTTTTTTTTTTTTTGCGACGGAATATATACCACCGTCGCAAATGATACTTGATTAACAAAGTAAAACGACGTCGTTTTACAAAAAAAATTTTTGCGACGGGCGTATACCGTCACAAATGGTCCACCATTTGCAACCACAACTCTTTACCGTCGCTAAAAAATACTGTTTGCGACGGTATACGTGCGTCACAAATGCTCCTGCATTTTTCGGTGAAATGTATTAGCGACGGAGGCAAACCCCGTCGCAAAACCACTTTTTGGCAACGGCAACTGCACTGCGTCGCAAAAACTCATTTTTTGCGACGGCAGGTTCCCCATCGTAAAAGCCTCCGTGTTATATAACAGATTTTCTTGTAGTGATCCCATGAATCCAAATTCTCTTAAATTTAAATTTAAATTTGAGGTAAATCTAATTTATTTTTATTTATTTTTGTTGAAAGTAGATTATTTTAAAAGTTACAAATTAATATTTTTTATTGAAACCAAATGGTCATACTCCTGTAAATCAGTATAAAATTAAATTGAATAGTCACATTCTATTTATTAAGAGGCGCTTCCTCTTCTATATAAGACAAATTCTTTATTTCCCAAGTTCCAACTCTCTCTCACTGAAATGTTCAAAATCATTCATCAATAATTTTCATAGAGTAACAATGATAATGGTAGTGTTAGTCTTTTTTTCTACCCTCTGTTTTGAACTGTGTTTTCCTCCTTTCACTACTCTCTCTCTCTCTCTCTCTCTTAACCAACTGGGTCTTCACTAAATTAATTTCATCTGATCAATTGTCAGGGATTGAGAATGATGACTAATTTCGAGTGAGCCTATTTGATTAACAGTTATTGATTCCAAATTTGAATTCATTTCTTTTGGGTTGTTTTTGTTTGTCATTGGACTTCTTCTGTTTATGGTTGAATTTCTTAAAAACACAGTTTTCTAGAAGTTGTTTGCTAAAGGATCTATGTTTTTCCATGTTACTATGGTGAAGAAATTATTGTTTTCAAAGGTTTTTACAATGTTTGGATAGTCCCTTCCCAAGAAACAATTTGGAAGGGGGAAGAGATATATAGTAACATATATATATATAGAGAGAGCGAGAGAGAGAGATGCAGTTTGCCAGCCCATACAGTTTTTTCTTTTGCTTACCAAACAAGAGAGAATCTGACCACATTTTGACAAATCATATTTATCAATATTATGAAAATTTACGAACTCAAATTTTTTTTTTTTTTTAATCAAGAATTTGCCCATAAAATATGTGCAATGAAGATTTATTTTAGATGTAAGATTCACTATTCAAGAATTGAATTTGGATCATTCGTCAAGATTTTCAGTAAACTATGAGTTTAAGCTTCTTGTTTCTTGCAATTTTTGCTTTGTTATTTATCAACCATATCACATTTGTACATCATCAGTTTATTTTATATTAGTGGGTCTACGACTTTCTAATACTGAACTTCTTACTCTCACTTTTCTCACATTATGAAATCTTCTTTCTTGTTGTATATCGGTTTATAAATTCACATAGTTTGTAATGTATTTTTACTTAATTTGGGAACAATTAATAGCAGTCTTGTATATCTCCACTTTTACGAATGCATAATTGTTGAAAAGCTATAGTTAAATTTTAGAAATGAAAATATTATGAATTTCAAATAATCTATCAAATTTCTCACATGTATGTGAGACTCACACAATCTCACATGGGTGTAGGACCCACACCCATGTAAGATTATTTGAACCCACAAATATGTGGGTCCCACACTCATGTGAGATATTTAATAAAAAATTTAATAAATTATTTGGAATCCCTAACATAACCCTTTTAAAAATAGAACATTATAACTTGTTACATTGGATCTTGCACTTAAAGGGGCAAAAACTCACACTTAAAATAGTGATAACAAGCCTCTATCAATAAATGAATCTTTCTTTATTTAACTTATTCTTTTGCAATATTTTCATTTGTCTTTAATATTATATTATTTTATAGTAGTATTACATATAATTTATAGCAATGTATTATCTCACTTTTATTATGCTTAATTCTAATTATTTTCATATTATGATATTATGCCTCAAAATTTATAGAACTTAATCACCACCAACCATTCTTAAATTTAAAAAATGAGCAACCAACCATTCTTAAATTTAAAAAATGAGCAAGTTAAATAGTAAGGGACAAAACTCGTTAGATGTGCGATATGCTTGCTCCATCTTAGTTTCAAACATATACCTGTCATAAGTAGTTGGCATATTAAATACTCTCATCACATTACCAAGACTTTCCAAAACAATTATGAAAGATTTTTATTGACTCATTTTTGTGAAGATAACATTCTTCCACATGGTCCCAAAATAATTTTTGATTTTTTTTTTTTAAATTTTGTTTAGTTCAATTGCTTACAGTGATATTTAGAAGTGAATTGTTGATATTTGTGTGAAGTTAATAGCAATACGGTTTGTATGATACTATGGATTAAGAGTTTGTTATGTTGTTTTCAACAGTAAGGTCAAATATAACTAATATTGTTTCAAAATGATATGTAGTTATTTAATTTTAAATGAATCGGCATCACATGAGAAACCATAAAAAAAAAAAAAAAACTTCTCAACTATTAATATTTTTTTAATTTATTTAAATTATTTTTATTTATAAATTATAAGTAGAAACTGGCATAGTTTAGAAAGTTGATTACTTTAATTGGCTACTTTAATCTGGTTAAAAAAAGTTATGTTTAGAAAGTTTTAAAAAAAAAAATAGTTAATTTGATAGTTATAAGAAAAAAAATAAAATGATTATGAATTGAATGTAACATTTTGTGTTATTAACTGATTTAACTTTTTTTTATCTTTTATGAGTCACATTATCTTTCTGTTTTTTTATATATTTTTTTGTAAAAAAGTTAAAAAGTTAAAAAATATATTTATTTAAATACTTCCAAACAACTCCTAAGAATAAATATAAATAATAAAAAAATAATATCGTAATATGTAAGTTGCTTAAATATTAAATGTGTTCTTAATGATAGTATAATAATCTTTTATTTTAGTATATGAAAATCTGATAGGTGGCATGAGGAGAAGGTTGGGAAGTTTGGATACAAGTCTAATGTTTACATATATAATAGTATAAATAAATAGATGGATATTTTATTTTTTATAATTATATTAGTTAAATGGCATATCATATGTTAATTAAAAGATAAATTATTGCTCACTGATTTTTTTTTTTTTTTTAAAAATACTAATTAATGAAAAGGTTTCTCTCTTCACATTTTAATATTTGTATAGTTTGTAATTAATTTATAAATATTTTTTGAAATATACACTGATATGAAATTTTAAAAAGTCATCCCAAACATACAAGTTTTTTTTACCTACCTTTTTAGCCAAATAGCCAAAAAGTTACTAAATTAGCCTGTTCCCAAACGAGGCCTGCTAATTAATTAAAAAGTTAAAAAATAATTATAAATTATCACGTCGCTCTTTTTTATTTTTGTACATATCTTTTTATAAAAATTTAAAAAATTACTAAATAACATATTTCTAAACGAGGCCTAAAATTAGATTTAATAAGTTGAGTAATGTAATAATTAATTAGAATATTAAAAATAACACTCTCTTTCATATGTTTTTTAATTTTTAATTAATTATCTCATTTACATATCATTAGATCTATAAAATAAATTTAAAAAATAAATTTATATATCATTTTTCATACAAAATTTATCAATAATATTATGGCCTCTTTTGAGAAGTTAGTTAAAAGTCAGCTTGTAGCTTATAACCCATTTTAGGTCATATCACCTTTTACATAACTTGTCCATAAAAAGATAAAAAAAAACTAAAAAAACTAAAAAATTGACTTTTGACCAACTTTTCAAACAACAATGATTGAGGCTCCCATTTTTTAGAGACCTCAATTTTTTTTTTTTTATCTCAATCATTGATGATGTGAACTCCACACATATATAAGTGAGTCTTACATATATATAAATGGTTGAGATTCAAAAGGAGTTGTAGGGTCTCAAAAAAAAAAGGCAAATTACAAACACCCCCTCGAGGTTTGGTGAAAATACAAACTCTCCCTGAGATTTGAAAAATTACAAATTGTCTCCTGATGGTCAAATTTGCATAACAAATTAGGAGAAATCTGTATAAAAATAAAAACTTCATAAAGCAATTTGTTATGAAAATATAAACCTCAAGAGGCAGGATGTAATTTCTCAAGCTTCAGGAAAAATTGTATTTTCACCAAATCTCGATGGAGGTGTTTGTAATTTGCCAAAAAAAAAAAAAAAAGTTCCCAAGCATTAATCTTATTTAAGAGACTGAGTTTGACTTCAACTATGACACTGTGGTTACCCACAAAAATAATCCACTCCTAACCTTATTAGGCAAACCAAACATGGCCTAGGAGGATACACACAGGTAGATGGGTGGTAGCTTCCACCTATGCCACACTTAACCACACAGCATATTCCAATTCCAATACAAACTTAAAAAAGCCCATTACGCGTTCATAAGAACTCAACAAGAAAAGCACAATGTTCCGTACTTTCTCAGAAAAAACCACATCTCAGAAAAAACCACATCCTTATATTTTACTCTGCACTACCAATCCTGCATTTCTAAGTTTTCATATCTTAAACACCCATTTTTCGCCCGACTCTCTGGTCTTAAACAACGAGTTTTTACAAGTATCTCTTCTCCGACCCTTACTGCCCAACCTGAGACAAAACAAAGCAGTTTAAACCTCCTCTCCCCCTAAAAAACCATGTGTGAAACCAGAAGCTTCACCTTCTGGCTCTTCCAAGTCGTCGTGCTCTTCGGCCTCCTCATCTTCTTTCTCTGGCTAAGTCTTCACCCCAGACAACCAACCTACACCATCGTGCAATTCTCCATCCCAAATCCCAACAACACCAACACGAATTCAACGGCAAACGAGGATAGTCAAAGTGGCACGGTCTTGTTTGAACTCGAAATTGAAAACCCTAATCAAGATTCCAATATTTACCATGATGATACCTTCCTGACGTTTTATTACAGTGAAGAAGCTCTTGGACAAAAAACCATATCTTCTTTCCACCAAAAGAAGGGCACGACAAGCCAAATATTCGATCATGTGAATACTGATGCACAAGTGTGGAAGAAACTACTGAATGCAGTATGGAATGCAACGGCGGAGTTGAAGGTGACTGTGGTTTCTAAAATCCGGTATCGAATGTGGGGGCTGACAAGTAAACATCACGGGATTAACTTGCAGGGTAATTTACCAATTGGTTCGGATGGGAAGATTTCGGGGAAGAAGAAGAAGATTAAGTTGGGTCACAATTCCAAGAAGTCGACGAAGAAGGGTACAAGATAACAAAGGACTATAGCAAAGATGTTGACTCTTTTTTTTTCCCCATAGATTAGTCATTTTTTGTAATGTTTGAATTCTTGTGAATACCATAGTATAACAGTTATTGTAGGAAATATTAGGCTGTTATATATAGTATCGTTTTAGCCAGAATTTTGAACTTTGCTACCATCATTCACCAATATATAGACTATTAGTGTTATATTGACTGATATATGACCTCATCTATTCTTTGTACTAAATTCATAGATGGCTTCTCCATAAATTGATCCTATCAATTGGAAAAGCGGACCATGCTTCTTGGTTGTCCGGCAGTCATGTATTTTAAATTATCCACAAAACATACAAGAGATACAGATTGTTAATCAAATATCATCGATTTGTTTAAATATTGTATAATTCAATCTAAGCATGTTTGAACTGTCTAATGGGTTACACATCAACAAAATTCTCTTGTATCAACTTTTTGTGTTCATCATTAGGTGATTGCACTAAACCTATAACCTCACAACAGCATATAAAAATCAGCAACATTCCATACAAGTTAAACCCTTAACTTCATCTTTGTTATCTTCCAAGTAATTCTCTTTCAACTTCAATGTCCGGTGGTGGATAGCAACTTGTCTTTGCCATTCACGAATTGGAACCTGCAGGAAAGATCATTTAAATGTCGATATGGCATCATGATATTTAGCCCCAAGGGTAAGCCAACAACAAAATTTTGGCAGATGTACTAATTCTGATAAGACATCATTATATGCAAAAGTAACATGTATATATACTTACAGCAGGAAAGCCACCATAATCTCCAGGCTCATTGATGTCCTTGGTAACGCAGCTATTACCTGCTAGCCGTACCTGCAGTCCCAGATGTAATCAACTATTTTGATTCAACTTCATTAAAGTGGTTATAATCAACTTGTAAATATGACAGTCATACATGATTGTCAGCGTGCATTCTGAGGAAAGTTATAATTTAATATGCACAAATATCAACAGTTAATTGGCTAACAAAATATGAATGTTCTATAGCTCTATGTATTCTCTTCAGAATAGTCAAGGGCACACTTGAGAGAATTTAACTATATCCTGGCCTCATCTTTGAAGAAGTATAAAACTGTGTTGTCAGACCATGTTATCAGGATGTTCTACTCATGTACGAGGAGCATGACAGAACAGGCATTACAATAACGATATTACATGTGGTGTTTATACCTGCTGTCCTACAAAATTGTCTATTTCGGTGCAAATCAATCATTATTTGTTAGAGGCCATAATATTTGTTGGCCAAGAACCATCCTGGTCAGTATACAAGTTTAGAGTTTTCGTTGAATGCAATATGGGTATGAACAAAGTCCACATAAAGCATACACAACACAATGAACCCTTATTCCAGTCATGCTAATAAGTAATGACCAACACTATCTTTGTCTTAATAAGAATCACAGGTACTATCTAAAGAATAAAAATTTTGCAGCTACAACAAATTAGGCATGAAGGAAAAGTTAATTCAACAGATTCTGTTAATTAATTGAAATTATAGGTGAAACAATAGAAGACTAATTAAAAAGCTCTGAAACAGGGAAAATCAGAACTAAAGCTGTAGGGGCACTGCTCTTGTCAACTAATCCAGTAAATATACCTTTGAACCAATAGAGACATGATCACGAACTGCTACCCGTCCACCTAAAGTTACATAGTCACCCATCCTAAAGAGTACAAAACCAAATTATGAATCATAGGAACTTTGGAAGCTAAACCAAATCCTTAAAATGAAAGTAAAAGCACAATCAAAACATTGGTGCATAGAGAGTACAAGCTAATTAAATTTATGGATTAGTACAAATAAACATCAAGTTACATACGTCACTGAACCAGCAATCCCAGCTTGTCCACAAAGCATACAATATTTCCCGATAACCACATTGTGACCTATCTGCAAAGTGAAGTGCACTGTCAGTTTCAAATTCAAGAACAAGTTAATAAGAAATCTAGGAAACTAAATCACACCTGAACTAAATTATCTATCTTTGTATGATCCCCTATTGTAGTGTCTCTCCAACTGCATAACCAAATATGTGGCACAGTTAGTCTTTCAAGTGCATCAAAATTTAGGATTTATGGCAACCACATGAGACAGAATTGAAGGCAACAGAAATCTCACCTGCCCCTGTCAATGCATGTACTTGCACCTATCTCCACATGGTGCCCTATCAGTGCTTTCAAGATCTAGATAAGGGAAGGGGGAAAAATCTGTAAACTGGACTAGATATAAGATGCAACCCTATTTGGCTATTGTTAAAAGACTGGGATAGAAATATTTTTTTTCGCAAAGAAGTGTAGATAATTGAATACAAAGCAAGTTCTTGGACAATTATTTAATCCCATTTTGCTATTCATGTATCTTGGAAAATGTAAATATCCTAAGAAGCGCAAATACAGACAACTTTAATAAAAATCAGGACATAGCATGGCCGTTACATGACATTTATGAATTAGTATATATATTTTTACATGCGTACGTGAGATTTTTTACATTATAAATTCAATTAGAGTATTATATCAAAATAGTAAGTCATTTCCTACATTCTACATATTGGAATAGAATTGTGAACAAGAAGTCTAGTATCTATTCTCGAAAGCTCTATTCATAAATAAATTGGAAGTTTTGAGCTTCAGAATTCCTAAAATTAAAAATCCAAAATGAGGAAGGATTGATATTTGATAGGTATAAACTCCACATTATTTTTATGTCAAAATGGAATCCTATGTTTTTTTATTCAAACTAGCAATATGCTTTGTGTGAGTCTAAGTGATGGACACGTGCATCCCCCAGTGTCAATAGTGTCTAGTTGTTTTAAAAAATGACATGTTTCAATGCACGACCTACAAATTTTATGCTTTTTGGTTAATGCTCTGTAATAGATATATGATTGAGCTCTCATCATCAATTAATTATTAATGACAATCTAATGAAGAAAATGAAGCCTTGTACTAGTTACAAAAGGTATAACATTGCACACGATTGAAGCAAAGAAAATGACCCATCTGAGCAATGGTGCCTGTTGTGACATCATTTTTGGCTTGGATTACCAGGGAGTTTGTGACTATTCCCTGATTTTCTCACTATTGACGACAGGAGAGGTTATTGGTTCTTTCAATTGTCAATGTATGATTACCCATAATGAAGGCAATCACTTTCAAGAATGATTCAACTCAACTTTATTCGTTCCTTTACAAGAAACCCATGGATGAGTAATGTTGTGGGAAACAATTCAAGACTATTCCCAGTATGTACACAGGATCTGAAAGTGACTGAGAAAATTTGTCATTTCTAGAACTTCATTAACAGCCTCTTAGATTTATATCCTGTGAAACAATATCTATGTAGCAATCTAGAATTAACAAATTAAAATAGTACTATAAATTTCAGGAGTGGCCTTGGGCACCTGTATATTTTACAGTTCTCAAGCAGTAAAATGCAACATGTGGACCATTCAATATTCTTTTTCATATAAATATGATGAACCATTCAATATATCTGTCAATATTACAAGATAATTTGTTTCATGATAGGTTCTTGGATATTTATATGTGAAAAATAAGAATGCTAAAGGACCATAGGTCCACAATAAAACAACAGTAACTTTGAATCAGAACTAATTTAAATATCACCTACTTGAGGCTTCTTCACCATATCGCCATGCTCATCCAGAAAAAAACCAAATCCTGCAAAGAAACAACATGAATCCAAGCTATAAGACGAGAATTTAAAACTGACAGAATTTCATTAGCAGCAGCATGCAATGCTCATCTATAAGAAACCAAAGGAAACAAAAACTGTATCCTTCAGTGTCTATTGTGAAATCTATAATGTTGATAAACAGTCACTTAAAGAATTGACTGCATTGTTCAATACTCATCTACCAAAGGAAATAAAGTTCCACATAGTCCAGCCATACCATCTTGACCAATGCACACTCCATTGTGGATAACACAATAATCACCAATTGCACAATTACTGAGTGCAACATTATACCTGGAGAAAATATAGTAGTTCAATCAAAATCGAATAACAAAAATTACATAGTTAACAAGAAAACTGTATCCAGATAAGATAAACAAGTTAAGCATACCCTAGTTTTGTTGATTGACCAATTGTTACAGCAGGTCCAATAATAGCCCCTGATCCAATATGAGCATTTGCACCAATGACAGCTTCTGGATGAACTATGGCACCAATTTCTATGAGCGCTGTTGCAGCAACACACGCTGACTTGTGGAAAGTTCCACCTCCATTATGCCATTTCTGAAAGCCTTGGTCATCCTCTGATCTTGAATTTAAAGTGTATAAAATTTCCAGTTAAAACCATAACTGTAAACCCAACTCATGCACAGACCATAGATATACAACACAGTCATAAAACCCTAGTTAGGGACAGCATTTCAAGTTTAATGGAACACTATCATCAATCTGCCTCTGGCTAAGAAAATGAATGGAAGAGAGAGATTAAACAAATGAACTACAAAAGTGAATGATTACTAGTTGCCAAGGTATTAGGGGCAGCTTATTTATTTCCTTTTGCATTTTTATTTATGCTCTCATTTATGGGTAAATTACACTTGAACTATATATTAGTATCATTTTAACCCCTCTAAAAGCATCACAGTTGTCCACTTTCAACTATCAATTTGTATCAATGCGAACTTTCCGTTAAGGATTTGTTACATAAATGGATGGAAAATTGACATGTGATTAGCACATGACATCTCGAATATTGTGGAATGGAATGCCTAAAATGATCTCTCAAGTATTGAACATCAACAATAAGAAGAGCCACCAGAAAGCAAAATTGCCTTAGCTAGGCTGGAACAAGAAAGACTCAAGAGTGGATTATCACTATTCAATAAGCTGCTTTGTTAGCATCCCTTGAAACCCAGGAAAGGAAAGATGAAGCTGATATACTTCATAAATCTAACATCTGCCACAATGGAAGCATATTCCCATGGAGAAACTAAGCCTCTGTTTGGATCGAGGAATGAGAAAATAAAAGAAATAATTATGGTCTCTCAGAAAAATAAAATAACTGAATTGTGTTTGCTCACTGTCATGTTCAGAGGAGTGCTATTAGTCATATGGGTGAAAAAAAAGTTGTCTTTCTGTTCAATTTTTTCTTTTTTTTTTAATCATTTATCACCAAATCACTCCATCCAAACTGAAATTCATATACACATAATGAAGAAATTTCACAAACAATTTTGGGTAGAATTATAAATGCAGTTAGCATGAGTGTAAAGAAATTATAAGCAACAGCACAGTCATTATTGAGGCATTTTCACAAACACGTTGAATGCAAAGACAAATGGGTCAAAGAACGCTGGGTTATGAGAAAAAGATCGACGTTACTCAAATGGGTACAAAAGTCTGGTAGATTATCGCAGCTCACCGGTCTTAAAAGAGCCAAACTTGAATGCGAATTGATCAGCCGAGGATACAGAGAAATTGTGACGAGTAATACTGTGAAAAATAGTGGTGGATGAACCAACACAGGCTAATCGTCTGAGTGCCATTGATTGCTCTACCATAAACTTATTTCAAAACTAAGTAGAAAGGATTAACACCTGAAGATTAAGCTCAAACATGGCCATGTTTATGTTTAGTTTTTTGGGGGGGAAATATCAAAAATAAAGAAAGAAAAAAATATAATTATAAATTCATGAAAATATAACCCTTAACACATACTCTAATTTAATAATTTAATTTAATAATTTATGATTATTTTGTGTATAGTTAATTTTATTTATTTATTACAAAAGGGCGTATAAAAAAACTTTAAAAAAATAACGTGCAGAAAAGCTAGTTTTTTAACTGGTAATGTTTTTTTTCCCAATCCACTGTTATGAAATTGCTCCTAGAATGAGATCTCGTTTGGAAGCAAATTATTTTAGTAATTTTTTAATTTTTTAAGTTAAAATATAAGATAAAAAAATTAGTATATCTACAATGATTTTTTGATTTTTTTTTTAATAAAAAGATGTGCAAAAAATAAAAAAAAATAAAATATTTAACTTTTTGATATAAGTTCTTTGCTTTTTAATTTTTTTTAAAAGGCTTTTTAATTTTTAAACTAAAATGTTGACTTGTCAAACCACGCTTGAATTCTCTATCGGCTTCAAATTAGTGTTGATAGGAGTATAATTTTGGCCCGTGGCCCATCCGAAGCCCGAGGTAGGCCTGGCCCATTGGCCCGCTCAAGGCCCGTCCAAAAGTCTGGCCCACCAGATGCCCAGTGTTATTTTTAATGAAAAATAATAAAATTTTGATAAAAAAATAAAAAAAATATTTAGGCCCGCCCAAAGCCCGAGCCCAGGGGCCTGGCCTACCGGCCCACCCAAAACCCGAATACCCCTAAGCCTAGGCTTGGGCCTGGACCTAATTTTCTGGCCTGTGAACTGACCCGGCCAGAGCCTAGATGAGCCGGGCCAAAATTACACCCCTAGGTGTTGGGTCCCAATAGCCCCCACTTTGACAATCTAAAAAAATCAAATTAATTTAATAATTATAAATTAATTATCTCTATCATCATCAAATTAATTTATTTTTTACAATAATTTTAAAAATTAAATAGATTAAATTATTAAAATAAAGTTCATAATAAGTCCCACGTTTTGGAACAATGTTGATAGGAAGTTTAGGTACATTTTTTATATGAGGAAGCTTCCATCTAGGTTCCAGTCCAGCGTAGCGTGCTAGAGGGTCCAAGTTTAAAAATTGGCTATTCGTATTGTATTGTTTACTCTTTCAAGTACCCGTCAAATGAGTTTTGTTGCTCATAAAAAACGATGGCGGTCAATTTTTAAAATCAAATTAGTCATCTCTATAATTTCTTAAATAAATACAATCAAACTACGTGATTATTGATATTTAAATTAATTTAATTTGAAAATAAAATTGCTTCCCATTGTAAAACCAAAATTATTATATAAACAGTATATTTTTGCATTTTACATTTAATTTTATTTTATTATTGACTTTTTAATTGTTACTGGTAACCCCTTAAATTCAAGTATCAATTAAGCTCAGGCCTTGTAAAGAAACTAGTATTTTAGCTTAAAAATTAAAAGGTTATTATAAATTGTCATATTATTTTATCTACTTTTCTACACATCTTTTTATAAAAAAAATATATATATATATTAGAATAGTCTGTTACTAAATGAGATTTTAATCTAATATGGCTGTTCCAAAAATTGATGGAGGGACCAATATGAGATTTAAAAAAAAATAAAAGAATCAACTAAGAACTAAAGTAAAAAGACTTAAAGTGAGACGTTTAAAAGTACAAGAATACTAAGGCCTTATTTGGAAACATGTTATTTTAATAATTTTTTAATTTTTAACTAAAAGATGTGTCCAATCGTAGAAAGAATAATGTGACAAGTTATAATAATTTTTAAATTTTTTAACTTTTTAGTTAAAATATATAGTTGACAATATAATGAATATTTTCATGTGGTTGTTCTCCATTGATTTTTAAAGGGCAAATTACATATATCCCTTCGAAATTTAGCTAAATTATAGATACTCTTTGAAATTTGAAAAATTATAGATACTTCCCTGAAGGTACTATTTGCATAACAAATTAGGGGACAAATTATTATGAAAATATAAACCTCATGGGGCAATTTGTTACGAAAATATAAACCTCAGGGGGTATCTGTAATTTTCGAAACCTCAAGAAGGTATTTGTAATTTAACTAAATCTCGAGAGAGGTATATGTAATTTGCCCATTTTTTAAAATAACATTATATAAATAGGTCAAATTGTAACTTGATTGGCATATTTTGGGAAGTAGGTTCTATTTTTTAGTTTTTTTTTTTTATTTTTTTTTAAAAAAAATATGTAAAAAAATAAAGGGCAAAAACAAACAAAAAAAAAAGAAAAAAAAAAGGGTAAATTACATTTACCTCCCCTGAGGTTTCTGACAAATACAGAGACCTCCCCTGTGGTTTGAATAATTACAGTAACTTCCCTTATTTTATCTGACAATGTTAAGATTCCCCCAAAATTTGACCGCCGTTTATACCCCTAACCATCCCTGCTGATGTCATCAACTATAAACACTAAAATACCTATAATGCCCTCAAGTACCTATAATGCCTATAATGCCTATGATGTAAACACTAAAGTGCCCAATGTAAACACTAAATTTTATTTTTTATTTTAAATATATATTTTTATTTAAATATTTTATTTTATTTTGTAAATATTTTAATTTTTTAATTTTAAGATTTTAAACTCAAAACACAATTTCACACTCAAATCATAATCAAACATATAACTCAAAACTCAATTCAAAAATTATTTTCAAACCTCATAACCAAACACATAACTCGAAACTCCACACTATTTTCAAAACTCTACACTCAAATCACAACAAAACACATAAATTTTTTTAAAAATATTTAAAAATATATTTATAAAATAAAATATTTAAAATAAAAATAAAATTTTAAAAATTTGTTAATATTTAACAAATATATTTAACATAAGTTCGTATTTTTTTTTAAGTTTGTATTTGGTTATGAGTTTTGAAATAATTTTTGAATTGACAAACAACATAAAACTCAATTCAAAATCATTTTTCAACATATTAACAAAACACATAATTCTGAACTCCACATATTTTCAAAATTCTACACTCAAATCATAACAAACACATAAAAAAATTAAAATATTTAAAAAATATATTATAAAATAAATAAAATATTAAAATAAAAAATATATATTTAAAATAAAAAATAAATTTTAAATTTAAAAAATATATATTTTAACAAAGTTTGTTTTTTTTAAGTTTGTGTTTGGTTATGAGTTTTGAAAATAATTTTTGAATTGACCAACACAACCTAAACTCAAGTCAAAAATTATTTCAAACATATAACAAACATAACTCGAAATTCCACACTATTTCAAAACTCTACACTCAAATCATAACAAAACACATAAAAAATTAAAATTTTCAAAATAATATTTTATAAAATAAAAAATATTTAAAAAAAAAAAATAATATTTAAAAAATATATTTAACATAAGTTTGTATTTTTTTAAGTTTGTGTTTTGATTATGAGTTTTGAAAATAATTTTGAATTGACCAACACAACCATAAAACTCAATTCAAAAATTATTTTCAAACCTCATAACAAAACACATAACTCGAAACTCCACACTATTTTCAAACTCTAATATTTGTTAAGCTCTATGAGTTTGAAAAGATTTTTTGAAAATTTCTAATTGAATTGTAATTCTAAAAGATTTTGAAAATTTCTAATTGGAATTGTGATTTTAAAAAAATATTTTTTAGAATATGTTTGTACTCAAAACTCAATTCAAAAATTATTTTCAAAAACTCATAATCAAACACAAATTTAAAAACTCAATTCAAAACTCAAAACCAAACTTTTTCCAAAACTCTATTTTAAAATAAAAAATTAAAACAAAATATAATTTTTTAAAATCATTTTTAGAATTGTAATTTGAGTGTGAGGTCGTATTTTGAGTTATGAGTTTTGAAAAGAAAAAATCTATTTGGTTAAATTTTGAATTTTTCGAATTTATTTTCTTAGGGTAAATATTTTATATTTTAAATATTTTTTATTTATTTTAATGTGCATTATATTCATACATTATGTGTTGTATTTTTTATATTTTAATAATATTTTTTAAATATTAAAAATTTTTAAAAAAAATTATTTTTTATTTTAAGGCCATGTTTGATTCACAATACTAATAGTGAGGTATTAATAATCCTATAATTTAGTGTGGTATTAATTATCACCCTACCTCATTATTAATAATCTAACAATTTGTTGATTAATTATCCATTGGATTAATAGTCCTAACCAAAATGTCAAAACAAACATAGGATGATTGGACCACGGATTAATAATCCTAATCCTACTTTAATCCTTCCAATCACCATGCCTAAATGTATCATTTTATTATTAAATTTTTAAATTATTTTATTTTATGGTTGTGTGGTCAAAGCAAAAGGTTTTTTCCTCATTTACCTTATGACATTGATGTTAGTCTTGAAGAAGGGTTTTTCGTCTTTTTGCAGGCAAAGACAAGGTAATATGTCATTTATATAAATACTAACGTTGTTTGTGCAAAATAGACAGAATAGGAGAATCTTGACATTGTCAGGTAAATAGGAAAAGTTACTGTAATTTATTTAAACTACAAGGAGGTCTCTGTATTTGTCAAAAATTTCCGGAGAGATAAATATAATTTTACCCAAAAAAAAAAAAAAACAATAATTGATGGCACTTATCATATTGAAGTGAAAGTCGTATGGAATAATTACAGTTCACGTCTCAGTACTTATAAGCTGTGTTGGATTGGTCAAAGCTGGTGTGCTGAGTGGGCAAAAGGCAATCAATGGGGGCTTGAGTTTTTTCTATCGTAATGATACCTCCCACTAAAAGTGATGCTATAAAGTGCTACTAATAAGTTGGTAAATATTTAAAAAAAAAAAAGAAGTAAGACACAAATAATAAGTCTCGTCCATTATCACATTATTAGTGGTACTTTTAAAGTATCACTTTTAATGGCCTCAAGCATTATTATTTTTCCATAGTAATTACCTACAAAGTAAAAAAAAGTAGAGCAAATAATTTCACAATTGTAGTCATCTTCCCAAACAAGGCTTATATGCCTATGACCATCTTTAATTTGCAGCCCTCATTGTTTGGCAAGTTTTGTGATTCT